GACCAAAGCAGCTAGGTAGAGGCAGCTGCAGCTTTGATAAAAACCATCCTTTATTCTCTGTTTAAAAACACTGATTTTCAAATATTGAAAAAACTGCATTCTTGGGATAAAGTCTATTTGGATGATGTATTGTCCCTTTTATAATTGCTGAATTATATTTGCTAATTTTTTTGCTACAAATTTTTGATTCCATGTTCATGAAACATATTGGCTAGCAATTTTCTTACAATTACTTTATCGTATTTTGGCATCAGATTAGGGTGGTATCAGTGTTAAGAGGATTAAATGAGTTGGGATATATGTATATGCACACATATATGTATATATACACATATATAGTATACATATGTGTTTTAAAATCTAGTCTGATATTCTCTACAGTTTCATTGGTGTTCTTACTGCACTTGGACTTAATGTAATTATACAGCTGGATCTACATTTTGCTACTTGTTTTTTATCTGTCCCAGTTGTTTTTCATTCCTCTCATCTTATCTGCCTTCTTTTGAGTCAACTAAATTTTTTTTTAATATACCATTTCAATTCTTCTATTGATTTTTATGTACACCTCTTTGCATTTTTTTTAGAACTTACTCTGAGGATTACAATATGCCCTTTTAACATATCATGGTTCATTTAGACTTAATACACCACTTTACGCAAATGTAAAACTCTTCTAGGATCCCTCATATGTCCTTTCATTATGATCACTTTTTTTTTGCCTTTAAGTTCTTGAATATATTTATAGTAGGTGCTTTAAAGCTTTTGTCTGCTAATTCTAAAATCTAGGTCATCTTGGGGTCAATTTCAATTTATTTTTTCTCTCAATGATGAGTCATATTTTCTTGTTTCTTTGCATGTCTGGCATTTTATTGTATTTTGGACATTGCAGATGGTGTGACATAGAGACTCTGGATTCTGTTATCTTACTCTTAATAGTGTTGTTTTGTTCTAGCAGGAATTGAACTTGACTAAACTCAGACTGTAAAATCTGTCTCCCTAGTGATGGGTAGCAGCTGAAATCTCTGTTCATCATCCCAGCTGTCACTTCCTGCCAGGCTTCATGGAAGATCTTCAATTCATGTGCAGTTAAGGGATCCACCAAGGATTCTGGCAATTTATAACCAGATTTGGGGGTTATCTGCTTTTTAGGATCTTCCCTTTATTTTCCAGCAACTCTGGTAATCCCAAGCTTTTATCTCAACTCTTCAAGCCAGTAAAACTGGAGCTTTCTGCTTGAGATCTAGGTGTAATACACCAAATGGACTGCCCTTGGGTAAAAAAATTTAAATGCAAACCTTGCACATTGTAGTCCTCTTTTTTAAGGATCAACTCCCCTCCAATTTCTGCCTGGTATGGTTACTCTCCAGTGCCTTCAAGAAGTTGTTTTTCATATTTTGTCCAGAGTTTAAAATTTTTATCTATGGAAGATTCAGTCCAATATAAGCTACTTTGAAATGGGACTCCATCTACTGAGCTTTTATTTCAACAACTGTATTTTTCTGTTTCTGAACATTCTAATCATTGTAGTTTAAAATCTGCCTGGTCATTTTGGGTAGTCTCATTACTTGCTAATTTTTGTGATTCAACTTTTTATTTCTTTAAGTATTCTGTTCAATTATTTTATACTGTATCTCTGACAATCTCACTGTATAAATCTTTGGGATCTAAATCCATTGGTTACTACATATTTTAACTCACTCATTGTAATTTGTTTCCTTTTATGTTTGGTTATCTATAATTTTGGACATTTGGTTGATCTTAACCTGTGAAAAATGTGGGGTCTAAATTGAGGATGCTGTCCTCCAAAGATGTACATTTAAATTCACTAGCCAAGGGATCCATACCAAATAAGGATCATTTATACTCCCTTAACTGTAAGAGACTTTCCCAGCTTAACTGTAAAGTCTCAAGTTTAACTCTTCCTTACCAGTACCCCAAGGCTTAGTCTATCAAATACCTCATGCCATTATTACAAGGCTGTATTATACCTTCATAATTTCTGTCTTTACTTCTTTCGTTGACTTTTATAAGGAGGAAAGAATTGTGTTTAAAATTCATGTTTTTCATACTTACATCAAGTATTAACAACTTTTATCTTCTTTTAACAATGCATTTAAAGTAAAAGAATTCATGTAATTTTGAATATCTACTATGATTCAAAGGATGTTTATTAAATGGTTAACTTTTACTTGCCCTGACACATTATTTCATTCCCTTTTTCTTTATAATCAATCCACAACAGTAAAAATCACTGTACCGGGCACTACCACCATCAAGACTGCAAACCCAAATAGGTGTAATAAAATAGTTTATCATATCCAGAATATTTATGTATTTTCTATTATTAAGGAAAAGAAAGTCTATTTTAAAGTTCTCTCAGAAAACTCTCAGATTTTTATGAATACATCATCAGAATGGACCCCACAGAAATTCTGTTGAAAACAGTTTCCTCCAAGACTAAAGCTATTTCAACTTTATAACCTTAATTCAGTCTATAGCTTGGAACAGAATAAAATTAACTCTCACAGGAATAGATGGAATGTTCTTGGCTGAATTAGCATGATGATCCACACCAATTAGAAAGACTAAGCAAGAAGTACTAGGAAGCTTTGCAAAGGAAAAGACGTAAAGTGGAAAAAGCACTAGAATGGGATTTCATTATTTATGGCAAGAGCTATTATATAAGTGTGACTGACTTTAGTATTGTGTAAATATAAACATGGCGTGAAATTTGTCTATATAAGATGAAATCTTTTCAAAGCAGCTACTTATTCAATTAATAAATATTTATTGAATAACTATACTAATCTATGATATCACTGAGTAACAATCTAAAGGTCATACAGTTGGTAAAGCAGCAGAACCAAGATTCAAACCCTGGTTTGCCTTACTTTGATGTCTTCAAATCAAAAAAAAAAAAATTAAGGTTTCAACCTAGACAGAGAAATGGTGGTGCCACTAATTTATGTATACACAGGAGAAGCAAATTTGAAAGGGAAGATGATTAGCCAAATGAAACTAGGAGCAGCATTTTCTAAGTCTTTTGTTTCCCCAGTTCCAAGATAGCATCTGCCTTACAGGACCAAAGTGAAGGCAGAGAAAACTATACTTATTAAGAACTTAATTCAAGATAAGTAATCTATAATTCCTTTAATAACATTTTAAGTGGTATATGATGCATACTAAAGAATACATGAAAATAATCAAATTATGAAGCATAATAAGAAAATAAACACCCATAAACTCACCACACAACTTAAGAACTAGATCATTACCAATATGGATGGGTACACCTGAATGCTCCTTCTCTATTCCATCTGCTTTTCCCAGGGGGCAACCATTAAACTGAATTTTCTGTTTATCATTTCTGTTTTTTTCCCCTCCTTAACAGTCTTATCACATACATACATAATCCTAAATGATAGTTTATTTTTGCTTGTTCTAAAGCTTTATAAAGATAGTATACTATATATAGTCTTCTATGAATTGGCTCATTTACTCAGTGTTTTTAAGGTTCATCCATCCACTCTAATGTCACTGGGCATTTGCTCCTTATTATTTATTTTAGATTCATTTAGGCCATGTATATTTCCACAATTACTCATTACATTTTTTCCAGTCAAGGTTCAAAGAAATTAGAAAGGAGATGGATCACACAATTCCATACTAAAAATACCAAGTGCTTACAAAAAAGTCATCATCTCAACATCAGTTAAAACTATACCACCTTCATATGTACCTTGCTATATTGACTTTTTGCAACGCTATTTGTGACCCTGCAATTTAACTACATTGAAAAATAAGTCTACTAACAATTGGGGAGATCCTCTACCAAAATACTTTAGCATTTAAGACCATTAATTTGGTCTTAAATCACTTTGCCAAAATAAACTCAGTGAAGATGCTACATATTTGAGATGTCAACCTGAATTTTAAGGTTATGTATGTATTGTCAGAATATAATTACTACAGACTCTTCTAATATAACATGTACCTGTTAATATGTAAGGAAAACGGTTGTCCAAAAGTTCCACATTTAACAGTTTGTTTTGTTTTTTTGGTTCCCTACTACTTATTGCAGAACAGGAGCATAGTTCAGGAAGTATCACCACTTGTTAAGCAAATACACCCCAGTTTCCATTATATTCCTATTTAGTAGGGATTTTGCCACATTATCCTTGCAGCTTTGTAGAAGTGCTAATTGGGTTATTTTTCTATGGCAACGGTAGGGAGACAAGTTTTTTTTACTTAATTCTGGGGAAAGGAAAACCTCTTCAATAATCCATAACTTTTAAGGGTATAAGTGAAACATGTATTTAGTGATAACCTGTCTGTAGGATACCTTATTAGGTGTTTAGTTTCCCTCTCTGGAAATTTGAGGTAACAGCAATACCTACATCCTAAGGTCCTTTTTTTAGGATTCAATAAGAAAATGTAAGTAAATTGCTAAACACAGTACCCAAAACATAACTAAACATTCAATAAAGGTAGGTTATTATATCCGCACATCTTTCCACTTTAATGTCAATTCGTATTTGATACAAATATCCTCCCTCCCACGACCCTGTGTTACTTTGCATTGGCTCAAACCTGAAAATCACCGAGGAGTAAGTTACTCTAGAAGAGCACAGGAGTGGGTACTTAAACCAGCCTGGGGACAAGAGGCAGCCAGAGAATTTCACATGTTATCCCCCTCACCGCAAAGAAAAAGTTCTTTACTGTACTGAAAAAAAGTTTCCACAGGGCAATGAAAAGTAAGAAAACTGAAGCCCAATGTTCACAAGTGAATTGCCCAACGTTGGACAGTTCTTTACAGAACTGGCTATGCTTCTTCATTTGAGAGCTGCATCCAGGTCTCTTGGAAACCAGTCCATGTGTTCTCCCACAGGTTTATATGAACTCGCCACACTAATCTATGTACTAAAGGGCTTTAACAAATTACACGGCGTGTTTCAAGTCTACACTGTCCTATTCTTGGTATGTTAACCACATTTAAAATTATTTCAAGCAATACATCACTAAATGCGGCCTGTAAATAATCTGTCAAAAGCCTTGGACAATCAGAATTAAAGTGGACAAAGACTACCGGATAAGAACGGCTGGGAACGCAGCAGAGGTGGGGTGAGAGTACCAAGCACCAGGAACTGTCGACGAAGATACAAATATACCCTCAGAAAAGTAGGAAAACGAAAAAGGTTAACGGGCCACATAATATCCACTCTTCTAGCACAGAGAGGGGCCCAACACACAGAAACACCTCGGGTAGAGATACTTACGGCATTTCAACATTCGAGGAGGCACGTCTCCAGCTAGATACAACCACTGAGCAACCTCTCCCGAAAACAGCCTCTTCCGAGGGAAACGCCAGAGTCTGAAAAGCGCGGGTGAATGGGCACTCGACGCTGTGTCACACTCAACGCCTTCCGCCGAAAACCCTCTCCCGGCAACAAGGGATCCCACTGTATGCCGGGAAGGAGGGAGAGGAGTCTACGCTTAGGGCCGCACCCAGTACCTGCTAGGGCAACGCAGGACTCTCTCTCACGGCTCTGACTAGAACAGCCCCCCGACAGAAGAAGGACAGAGCCATCTCTGGTCGTTCTGGATAAGCCGTCCTTAGTTTCTAGCCGGACCGTTTGGGGAGGTGCTCTATACCTTGTTTCCGGTGGCGGAGAGGTGCTGTTGCCATGGTAATTGAAGGAAGGCCGAGGACGGTCCGGCGGCTGTGAGAGGATCGTGGAATCCGTGAGGAGAACCGCTTGCGCTTTCTCGTTTGTGACCTGCAGTTAGGTATCAAGCAGCTCGTTGTCTGTGTCTTCGCCCGCTGCGTCCCTCACTGTTCGGCTTCCTTTTCTCCACCTGCTTCTTTTACTTCTCCGTCTTACGTACACTTGCTCCATGTCTGTACCTAAAATGTACATGTCAATGCAGTGTTATGCCCAGAGGAATACAGAAATAGAGAGATGTAGCCCGAGAAAAGCTGTGGAAGTATTTCTGTGTAGGGACGGTGACTGGATGGCGCTCTGCCTTCACCTTGTCCTTTAGAAGCCTTAGGCGCTTGTTAACAGTTTATTTTTCTTGCTATTGTGTGGCTGGTTATTTATGGAGCGGTTTGCTGCAGTGAACTCTCTAGGCCCCTGTCTTGGTCTCTGGCTGGACTTTTAAATGTAGGAGGTTTCCAAGCCTGAGGGGTGCAATTATATATTTATTTAAGATTCAGTTTAGTCTCTCGTCACAGAGACGGGGAAAAAATAGAATTCTGGAACATTCCTGCCGTGGGATTTTCACGTAAGGGAGTCACCTTGTTTGGAAAGAGTATTCGAGGACGATCTTAAAAAACAACTTACATTTTAAAACTGCTGGTTGCAAAATGAACGTTCATTCTCTTCCTTATTGGAACAGTTTTCTTTCACATTTGTGAGGAGATGCGTGCATGCATATGTGTTTAAAACTATGATGCTTAATTACAGTGATACAATTTGCAGTAACCAGACTGTGACACCACATCCCTATGGGGTCCTTCTAAATCTGGTGTAATATGAAAGTGTCAGGCAGGCGGTCTGTGTATTATAAATAGGGTACTTCATCCATGATAAGCGATTATTATCTTTCTTTCCCAAGTGTAAAAGACCTATATAATTCAAGAAGGTGCAAGTGATTTAGGCCTCCTGAGTAAGAATCCAATGAGTCCTGAAGGGGACCCTACCTGTGTCGTCTTATTGTTGAACTTGAAATATTCAATTTATTAGGTTGGAATGTATTTTTAGAAGTCAAAGCTGGATAAAATAATGTTGGAAGCTGTTAGAACACCAGCACAATTTAGTGCCTCATAGTAACTGTTATTCAGGAAGCCTTCATTCACATTAATAAAGAAGAAACTGTTATTGAAATTTACTGCCTTTTGCTACTTACTATTAGCTGAATGACATCTCTGCCCCTCAATTTCCTTATGTATAAATGGGCAAAAAATACCTGACCACTGTTGTAGGTATAAATCAAGATATATACAGTTCTTTAAGCTCTTATGAGCAGAGTGCTATAGAATCCCAAACGTTGTTGTTGTTGTTGTTGTTG